ATATATATATATATATATATATGTCCTACTCCTAATACATATGGGATTAGGGTTATTTACTACTATTTAACTATCAAACTAACATCTAAGTCGATGAATACCATATGTAAGTCACTCCTTCTCTCCCTATACTACTCCATCAATCTCCTAACAAGGCGAATGACTTCCATAGTTAAACGTCCCGACATAAATTTGAACTGGTTCTCGGAAATAGACACACTCCTTCTCCCCCTCCGCTCCACCACCCTCTCCCAAACTTTCATAATATTGCTTAGCAGCTTGATACCCCGATAGTTAATACAAATTTTGGATATCACCCTTGTTCTTGTACAAAAGGATCATCGTACTCCACCCCCACTCCTCGGGCATTTTCATCATCCTAAAATGACATTAAATAACCCCGTGAGCCACTCCAAGCCCGCCTTGCCCGCGCTCTTCCAAAATTCCATCGGGATTTCGTGTGGTACGGTCGCTCTACCCCTGCTCATCTTACGCATAACCATCTCGACCTACTCAACTTCAACATGCCTACAATACCCAAAGCCTCGACGACTCTCAGAGTGTTCCAAATCACCCAGCACAATATTCTTATCCCCTTCTTCGTTCAAGAGTCTATGGAAGTAACTCTGCCATCTCGACGAATATGTGCCTCATCCAACAAAACTCTGCCATCCTCGCCCTTGATGCACTTCACTTGGTCCAGGTCACGAGCCTTCCCTTCTCTCACATTAGCTAACTGAAGAGCTTCCCCCCCCCCCTACTGTGAGAACCACCAGGTTAGATCGTAAAGACATACACAACGAGTTTCTTAAGTTATAGCTATCGTAAAGACATACACGACGAATTTCTTAAGCTATAGCTTGCCCAATGTTAGCTATAAAGAAGAAAAAGAGTAAGGGATTCTTACATCCTCAAGTCCTGTGAATGGCCTAGTCAGTCCCCTCTCTCTGAGTGTCTTGTGGAAATCTGTGAGCTTCCACGTACAGCGTTCAGCTCCAACTACATACACAGGCTTCCTGGGAAATAAAGTATGAATCACAATAAAATTTTAAGGATTATGAACAGCAATAATAGATCATAAACAACTGCTGAACGCATTGTCAGGCATACCCAGTACTGCAAGCCTCACTCAACATGCTAACTGAATCCGCTGTGATGACAAAAGCATCCGCCCAAGCCAGATGCCCCATGTGTGGATTTGGCTCTGAAGATATAAGAAAATATATCCATTAGATTATCCTTCAAATAAAACTATAATTACACAAACTAATCCAAATAATTCTGTCTTCAATCACCTTCACCATTCCAAATGTATACTTTTGGATCTGCACCAAGCTCTTTGACCACGATATAGGGATGCTACAAGAAGTCAACAAGGCTCAGACCATCAGACGCATTAAACATGTTGCCACTTGGTATAATTTAAAATACAATCTGTAAAAAGTACCTTTGCTGGTGTCCTTCTGGAGAAGGATATTCTTATGGTCCCACAGCTTGCAAGAACATTGTGAAGGGAGGCTGTTAATTGCTTAACAAGGTCTGGCCCATACCTGCAGTATCCTAATAATAATCCAGGAAGGATATAAGTTGTATACACAGGAATCACGCGGTGAAGGTAGACAAAGAACAAAATAAATCATACTCCACAGTGCTGATGAAATTCAATGAATTCCCATACATGTCTTAGTTTTCCTAGGCGTTTAATAACTGAAGGTACAAAAGCAAGACTTTTTTGGGAGCTCGACAAATAACATGCAAAACATGAAATAACGATGATTAATCTATATAGATATTAGCCAATTGAAAAGGAACGACAATCATTTACTAAAGAATGGAAAAGACAATAGCGAACCAAGCAATATGAAACCCAGTAACAGTTATGAAGAGAAAGTACAGTCCACTCTAGCAGATGTTGAGCAGCAACAATATAAAAGCACAAAACTTGGTTACAAGTATCCTAAAACTAGGAACCAAGCAATATCCATGCATAAATATTCAAAGTCCACTCAAGCAGATGTTGAGCAGCAAGAATTAGAAAGCACTAAATCTAAACAAAAAGACTTGGCTCCTTGACCTAGAAGAAGTTTGCTTTTCCATGATCTCATTCAGTTATTCTTACCCACCCAAGTTAGATGATCGACTCCACTACAACTAATGTTGTAGCCTAAGATTCATATGGAACTACATACAATAGCAGAGGGACCAGTTTCTACTAAATGCTTTCTACATTACAAACAAGATATCTTCTCACAAACTTCGCGCCCATCAGTATAACCATTATATACTTCAAAATTCTACATCATACATTCCTATTCATCTCGGGCAATTTTTCATATGCTGTACTACCATATCTCATGTGATCTCAGCCTGGTCTTTTCATACTTTCCCTTCTTTTCTTTTACGAAATTTAATTTTGCTATGGATGGATATCAGTGATTTGGATTGAAGAAATATCATACTTGTTGGGCCTCCAATGTTGACCACCAGTAACGGCTTTGGCATAGGTGCAAACTCTTCATGCCAGGTGATAGCTGCAGCTCTAAGTGCAGTAAAATCAACTTGATGTAGAGCTCCTACTGTAAGTACCTTTACAGAAAAAACAAAGGCACAGCCCAGAAATGAACCAGTTTAGATACAACAGCTCTCAAATCAGAAATATACTACATATTACAAGCTAAAACTTTATATAAATGTTGAGGATACCTACAACATGCTTATCAGGTGGTTCATGGGGTGTTATCCACTTGTGCAGAAAACGAGGAACTTGTTCCTTTCCTTGAGGAGTTAAAGGATAATAGTCATGCTTGGGCGTGATTACCAAGTCGAATCTATCCAAACGGGACCTTGGATGCTGAATCTGAAGTTGAAATGCAGCAGAGGCAAATAAATAAGAATTTCTTCTCCAGACCCAAAATTATTCAAGAATTTACAAAAGATAAAATGATGTATTGTCCAAATATGTATTAACAGCTTTCTTTGCAAGATAAAGAGGAAGACGGCAGCTACCATTAGCAGATCCTAAAATTGAGGAATACTTCATGAGTCAACCAGTATTTTGTTAAAAAGATCTGGACACAAATGCTTCAGAAGTCTCTAGTCAGTGACTTGTGCACATTCAGTAAGAGGAGTTTTAATGGAGTAATTTCTTCTTCACCATTTTGGTTCCTCTATAGTCTATAGCTAATATCAACTACGGTTATCCTTATCAGGAGAATATCTACCACTACTAAAGTATCAGTCACTTGAATAAGAAACAAGGCAGCTATCCGAAAGGATTTCTCAAAAATTTAGTCTCTAATAGGCAACCAGTAAGAAACTACAGGAGTAAACTAACTTATCAAATAAATTAAAAAAAAAATCGCGAGACTAAATCGCATCTTCCTCATCTGAAAGTTGGACATATATGCATACTTAAAGAAATGGATGTTGTTGTGGAGCATGAAGCGTGATCTACTTGTCATCAAATTCTTCACTCATTTTCTTCATCTCCAACCCCCCCCCCCAACCACCACCAAACCCTGGTAGATGAAAGTTCATAGATAAATAAGTTGTCCAAGAGCAAGAATTAAAGAACTTTTAGGGAAGAAGGGTGGCGCGATAGAAACTACTTTTATATTAGACAGCAAAAAGAGGATGTCAGTGGGCATTAAAATCAACCAAGTAAAGAAATAAACAGGCAGTTACAAAGAAAGAGATCATGGGTTTCAATTGTGTTAAGAAACATAAATTTGATTTTTGTAACCTTGTCTTTTTTAATCATTCAAGGTTACACTGCAGATCTTCAAGATAATTTAGACCTAGTTCGGTAAACTTTTAAGTCATTCATAGTTAGGCAATTAATTAAGAAGCTTTAACCAACCATATTTGAACAAAACTGATATTTCCTTAGTCCCCTGTAGATACAAGCAGTTCATAGGATTCCAGCTGTCAGTTGTAAAAACACATGCCTTCTTCCCAAAAATGTGTGTCACCTCTATAACAGGGACTTAGAATTATTGCAGGTATGTTATCAAATATCTCTACTGGTACTAAAAACTAGGGGTGCCAATAGTTCGGTTCGGCAGGTTATTTAATAAAATTTGTACAATAATTTTTCGGTTATTCTATTATGTATAACCCAAATTGGACTTTTCGAAACTGTCTCAATCATGTCGGTTATCTTCGATATCGGTATGGTTCGGTAATTTTTTTAATGTCATGTAAAAGTCACTAGTAGAAGTAGAATGCAATAACATACGTACTTTTATAGGACTTAGCAGAACTCTCTAAACATTTTTAGAGTTTAAAAGGTGATGAATGAAGAAAATATGAAAGATGGCTAGAGTATAGATCCATCAACTATTCTACATCAACGTGAAAGAAACTAAGCAAATACAAAAATAATATAAATCACACGAGTGAAAAAATATTAACTAAGTTGGGATTCAAGAATAAAGTCTATAGAAGATTAAATATTCAAAAAGATAAATCAAAATCATACGAAAGGAAACATATTCAATACATTATAATTTGCTACTCATAATCGCTACAATACCTTGTGTCTTGCTAGCAAACATGCTGGAAATAATTTAGTTTCAATAGGAGTATCATAATAGGTTTGGGAGTTAGGATTTTGAGTTTAATTACTAGTTGGCTTGTAACTGTTTCATAATTCCAAGGCCCAAGAAAAAAATTTGATGCTTTATTATTTTTAAAATTAACATATAAATATATTGTTCACATTGTAAATTATTCGGTAAGGTTCGGTATTTTTTCGGTTTATTTTCATAAAATAAAAAACCTACCCTAATTATCGGTACGGTTATAAATTTATATAAAAACCTACGGTTTTATTAAAAGAAACCTAAAATTCGGTTCGGTCTGTTTAGTTGGTTTTTAATATCCATTGACACCCCTACTAAAAACTCTCCAGTTATTTCATCAGTGACACTAAAATGTCATTTGAGATACTGTCCAGCCACCGATCTCACCACCAAAAACTTTTTTTTTTTTTTTAAAAAAAAAGAACATGCGCAAAAGATAAAAATGAGAAGAGGTGAAATGGACTTTCAACTAAAACGATCTGCAGAAGAAAAAACATGTTCCACGGTGGAAGCATCAGGTTTCATACCTGGACAACAAAAACATTATCAGATGCCAATCTTTTAATGGAGCTAGTTATTGAGATCGTATCTCTTCCAGATGCAACCACCAGCAATGGACCATCCCTGCAAAGGAGCAATATATAAGCTCATCATTATTTCACCGAGTAGAAAGAGCACAAACATTATTTTTCGGGTTACAAAAAGTGAAGGTCATTTTCAAAGAAAACATCAAAACAAAAAATAAATTGTTTTTAGAGAAAGAAACCCGACTGTAGGTCGTCTGCTTATCCTATTGGAAAGCACTCCCAAAAGGCTTAGAGCAATTATCACAAAGCTGAAGCAAGCTAATTAAGAAAGAAAGTTCTGGTTCGGCAATTTGCCTTCTGACTCAATTCCTACAGTTGTTATAGCCTTCACTCCTCTCTTTATGAGAGAAAACCGCAGGATTAGAAACAGCAATCAGTTTGGCAGCTTTTCAACTTTTGATAAGTCTGACATAAACCCTTCAATTAGTTTTGGACTCGATTAAACCCTTACACTACCAAAATGGTCCCATGTAAGCCCTTCACTGGATTCGGCATATCCAACGAAATCTGGAACATCTACAAAGTTTTTAGTGTTTTAAGGTTTTATACAAATAGCATAAAAGATCACAAGTGTAGAAATAGCAAAAAGAGAGAGTCAGAATCTTCCCATTACTGTGAGGATATCCCTTTAACCCTGGTGCACCCTAATTATGGATGAGCTAACCAATAACATGCCATATAACGTTTCACTGTGCATGCTATTGGTAGATGATATTGTGTTAATTGCTCAAACTAGGGAGATAACCAAAGCTGGAACTATGGAGAAACACTTCTAAAATTAACGGATTTAATATAAGAAGTAAGACAGGGATGGTTACCCGAAATGATTCAACATACCTTCAATTGGACCAGTTAGCGGGTGAAATATTATGGTGATTGAAGGTGCTAAAAAGGACAAGGTAGATAAACTCATGTGAAGGCTTAATTGTTGTTACACTTACACTAAGCCTGGTAGGTATGAGTGTATTCATTTAGAATGTCCAATTTGCCCTGAATGACAAATTACTTACCAATGTTGGAATAAAATGAGCCCAAATAGAGCATATAATATATGGAGGATTCATATTGGTGACCCTAACTTGTTTGTGTTTGGGGCATAGTTCATTGACTGATTTAATTAGTGGGAAAACCATAATAAAAGAACAACAATTATATAGTCATCTCTTTGCGCAGTTCAAAATCAAAAGTATTCTCCTTTTTCATAAGACTATCATTCGATGATATTTTAGGCACAATAGCTGATTTGCACAACCTGTAATTAGGCATGTTGCACTGGCTTAGTGCAAATATTTATAAAATATTATTATTTAACTATTAAAAAAAAGATTATCATTATCACAAAATTGTCTCGAAATTGCCTTCATATTGCAGTTCAAGAATGGCTGAACTATGAGTACCTTAGTCGTTTTTTGTTTGGTTATGCCCAAGTTTTAATTTAAACAATAATTTAAGACTACAACCTGTTAGGAGTTCTCAATTAACTTTTTCTAACAGCAGTTATTTGCTCCTCAACAATGAAGTAATTATATGCATAAGGTAGTTGCAGGAGATATTTAAAGAAAATGTAGTAAATGTATCGTAACTTAGCTAAATGCTTGGGAAGAGAATAATTCTATTACATATATTAATGAATCTATTACATATATTAATGAATATTCTCATAGTGTGGGATCTGGGAGGGTAATGCATATGCAGACCTTACTTACCCCTACCTTGTGGAGGTAGAGAGGCTGCTTCCGATAGACTATGTGCCAGTGTTTTTGAGAGCGCGAAGCGCAAAAAAGCGACAAGGGCTCGCTTCGCTTCAAAAGCGAAGCGCAAAGCGAAGCGCACGCTTTATTAAAGTGAAGCGCAATTCTTAAAAAACATAATGTAAAATTATAAATAATCAAAAACTTCAATTTAAATACTTAAAAGTAGGTACTAGCTACCACCAAATCATCCACAAACCATAGGACAAGCAAAATCAAAGGTACTAAATTACTAGAATCAACATCTTATTCTTCTACTCTTCTTCTTGTTCAAGATTGTCAAAATCTTGAATTCCTCTATTATCTTCATATTGCTCGTCATCTTCTTCTTCCCCCTTCTCTTCATGATCACTTTCATCTTCATCAATTAGGGATAGGGATCGACTTGTAGTAGCCACACTTTTTCCCTTCCTAATGGAGCTTGAACTTGGAGCTTTAAGCGAAGCGCAATTCTTAAAAAACATAATGTAAAATTATAAATAATCAAAAACTTCAATTTAAATACTTAAAAGTAGGTACTAGGTACCACCAAATCATCCACAAACCATAGGACAAGCAAAATCAAAGGTACNGTTATTTCCTTCGTTACTGGACGACTCTTATTTGGAAATTCGTTGTCTCCTACAGTCATGCTCCCTTTCCCATACGGTTTATCTGTCTTTGTATTTCGATTCCGCTGTGTGTGTATATACATTCTTCTACTCTTCTTCTTATTCAAGATTGTCAAAATCTTGAATTCCTCTATTATCTTCATATTGCTCGTCATCTTCTTCTTCCCCTTCTCTTCAGGATCACTTTCATCTTCATCAATTAGGGATAGGAATCGATTGTAGTAGCCACACTTTTCCCTTCCTATAGAGCTTGAACTTGGAGTATATCTTGTTAAACCATAAGGATTCTTCCCAACTCCACTACCAACCGCAACATCACCCCAAGTGAAAACGGAGACGCCTTCAATACTTCTTCATCTTCACAATTTTCGGGGACTCCGGTTAGCCACTCATTAGCCTCATCAATATTGTCCAAAAGAATTGGATCAATTAGATTGCGGTGGTTGTAGCGACGCCTCAATGCTCTATTGTATTTTATGAACACTAGATTATGGAGGCGCTTCAAGGTTAGTCGATTCCTTTTCTTTGTAAGAATCTGCAAAAAAGATGTGTCAACTAATTAGTAGGAGTTTGGACAATTGAGATATAATCTACTTTATCTTAAAACACGAAATAATTCTTTTTATTTCTCACGTGTTCAAAAACACTCCAGTTCCTTTCACATCCGGATGAGCTACAAGTTAAGCTTAGAACTTTGATGGCGAAAGTCTGTAACTCCGGAGTCTCTACACCATATTGGTCCCACCATTCAACTATAGAAGTCAAAAAAATATTCAAGAGTTAATAAGTATAAAAAATACATTGAAGTTAGAGCTATAAAATATAGAAACACTTGGTCACCTGGCGACTTCGTCGTTCTTTGTTTAATAGCAAGTCGAAGCTTAAAAAGTCCTTCAGCTGCCTTGTAAGTAGCAAACTGATCTACTATCTTTTCTTGCAAGTCTTCATCTGGGTTCAACTTGATAACAACCTGATGGAATCCTGTCCACACTTCTTTAGCCAATGAATTCTTCTCATGCTGCTCATAAAAGAGTGATGGGTTCAGAATAAGTCCAACTGCATGCAAAGGTCTATGAAGTTGCTCATCCCATCTTGCATCAATGATCTGAAAGACCTTTGCATATTTTTGCTCATCACTGAATGATGCTTGAATAGTCTCCTTGGCCCTATCCATAGCTTCATAGAGGTAGCCCATTGATGGTTTTGCCTCCCCATCTACCAAACGGAGTACTTTAACCAAAGGGCCACCAATTTTAAGAGCATGAAGGACATTATTCCAAAAAGAATAAGAAAGAATAATGCGTGCAACCTCTTTCCCCGCACTTTCCTTTGCAAATTTACTCCTGCTCCATTCCTCTGAAGTGACCATCTTTCTCAAATTGTCTTTTTGACAGTGGAGACTACGCAAAGTCAAGAAAGCAGTGGCGAACCTTGTCTTGCCCGGTTTCACCAAATTTTTTTGCATGGTGAATCTTCTNATCTTAAGATAGTCGAAAAAAGGAGAACGTCAAATCCCCCTCTAAAACGACTACTCCATATACCCCCCCCCCCCCCCCCAAACTATCCACATGAGAGCTAACGGGGCGAACTTCTGCGCCTTTTGTTTTCTTCTTCTATGAAAATCGGCCAGCTATATAACATTTCCTTTACAGTGCTTGGCATCACCCATTGAACACCAACAAGATTTAGGATTGCCCTCCACAGAGCCGAGGACACGGGGCGATGCAACAAAAGATGATCAACTTCTTCCCCTGAGCTTTTAAACATGTAGCACCAACTAACAAGTGTAATTCCTCTCTTTCGCAGATTTTCAGCAGTCAAAATCACTCCCCTCGCCGCTAGCCATGCAAAAAAGAGGAATCCAGATCGAGGAGTATGGAAAAGTGGCCTCCTTTCTCACCAACATACTCTGGTAAAAGGACATTACGGTGAACAAACCATCGCAACGCAAACCCTATCTCCAAGAATCACAAGATGGCTGGGAGTTGTTGAAAGACAAGACATTTTTTCCTTTTAATAACGGTGAAGTATGGGCTACCTTGTATGTACCTCGACTATTCAACCGGATACTCTCAATTCTACCGGATACTTGCAATCTCCCACCATCACAGGTATCGAGTAAATCTGCGCACCAACGCTTAGGCTGATAGGAAGAAATTACCTAATGTATTTGTCTTTGCAAGGATTGAACCCTGATCTCACTCACTTCAATAACCGCAAGGCCACGCCTTTAGATACGTAAGTCAAGAAATTTATGCATTTAGATATTTTCATTTTTATGTTAATAGTACATAATATTCTCCCTAAATTTGTCATTCGAAAACTCAATATATAGGTAACCTCTCTTATTTCATGCGGTCTAGATTTACCTCATACATAATACCGTAAACTCCTATATAAGGAGTCGTTTTGTATATTCAACAATAGAAAGAAAAAAAAAAAGGAGTCGTCTTGTATATTGTCTACAATCAATTCAAGAAAAGCTTTTTTTTCTTTTTTGAAAAACATGGTATCAAAACCTCTAAAATCTTGGTAAAGTAAGTAGCTTTTGTTGCCACCGTGCCTAGCCAGAGTTTTCCTTCTTTTCATAAACATATAACTCTTGTTTCTTTTTTATTTCTCCAAATATTCTTTTTCTCCTCTTTTCTTTAGGGTACAGAAGTTGGGTATTGAGTTCCAACACTAAAAGTAAAGTTTCCGATCACTTCCCTGAAAAGGTCATCTCCTCCTCTTTTTCTTTATAGGACGCGATTTCATGTATTGAGTTCCTCCTTCGATTATTGAATTTCTACCCAATGTTTCCACAAAGTAAAGGTCTTCTACTCTTCCTCGTGGATTCACGTCATCCAACAACACGTCTTTACGTAGTTAGTAGTATGTCGTTGTCCAAAGACATGTTAATGTCATATTAGCAAGAAGCCACCACATTACCTAGTAAGCAGTCAAATAATTGTTCAATTATCACTGACATATCATCAAACAGTAGCTTTTTCGGCATACTTGACTTGGCTTTCCAGTTTTTACGTACAAACTCAAGTCGTTTCACCGCCTTGAGTTAGAGGGGTGTGTTGAGAGTCAAGAAAATTAATGTAGCTATATATTAAACTATTCCATATTCATTCCATATGATTAGGTTACCTGTATAGAATGTGCTCCCGAATTGTATCATACTTAAGAATCTAATTACTTAAGCAATTTCCTTATTTAATAACTTCTCTTATTTCACGTAATCTAAATCCACAACTAGACTCAAAAAATTGCAGAAATATGACACTTTCATGGGTGGTCTTTAACTTTTGACGGGCTTGCCTCATGAGCAGGATGGTTAAAAGTTAAAAGTGTTGCCCATGGGGAAAGTGAGGGGCAACTCTAGTTAAACTTGAAGTATTGCACATAGGGCAAGCGGGGACAAGAATTCAAGACCATCCACTTTGAGGGCTATTTGTGTACTTCACCCGTGTAGACTCCTATATAAGAAAATGTTGAAACGCTATGTGCCAACATGTCATAAAATTAGTGTCAGAAAATGTGATGCTAAGATGTATGTACAGTCATACAAAATTAGCTACGCCTAGTGGATGTAAGTAGCACACATAACGAAAGAAAACCACATGATATAACTAAAAATAACAATTCAATAACTAGAAATTACCTATTTTTGTACAAATGTACTAGCTCCAGAAATAAAACCAATACTACAAGCATTCTGTGTTGTGCATATTTATTATGGATTCGAACAAAGAAATTTACAACCACAATTAAACAATTATCATAAGATGCAACAGGAACCAAACTAATTCACACGAATCATCAAAGACTGATGAAGTCTAGAATTCAGTAGGTACTTACTTCTCAAATGTCTCGCAAGCCATTCTAACTATACTCTTCACATCAGCTTCCAAAATAGATGATAAGCCTGCATTGCCACCATTTTCCCAAGGGAAAGGTCCCAGTTTTCTAGCCCTACTTCTCAATAGAAGCCTACATATCTGGCTTATGATGTAATACAACCTTTTGTGAAGAGATACAGGAAGCCAGTGTAGCCACTCATTGACTCCTCCTCTTGGTCTTGTAACGCGCTGCATGTATGGATAGCATCAACAATGATTCAAGAAACAAGGTTTGATTGATAATTACAATTTCCCAAAATAAATATAGGTCTTTCAAGCTTATCACCCACTCCTCACCTTTTTGTATCACTTTGTAAGTTAATAATTTTTTTTAAAAAAGTTTTACCAAAAATTATAAGAAATTTCTAATATCAGCCAGTTGACTAGAAACTTCAACGGTTTCATCCACCCTATTCATGAAAATTTTTTAACCTAGACGGGCCTCTGGTTCAGTAGAAACTTTTACCAATCAACTAAGATCGGGTTGAAAGCAATACACCGAAGAAGCGTTAACCCCCCCCCCCCACCCGGAGAAAAAAATGCAAGAGCGAATCACATCCCGTTACATACAAGCATCCTTTAGAGTAATATGGATTCCAAAACAGCACAAGTCAAATTCCTGACATCATTTGTCAGAGCAACATGAATACCACAAATCGTTGAGCTTTGATTTGATTAAAAAAAACCACATAACATATTTATGCAACTATTAAATGGTTGATAAGGTTCTGTGTGCTTTCTTGTTTTAACATCTTGTGCTTGTGTACCGTTTACATGAATTGCATGGAAAGCATAACTTGCCAGAAGCATGGAAACTTTCTTCTTTTTTCTTTATCCTTTTCTTTGTTGGTTAACTATGCAGGATCTAATCTCATCTGAGTTACTATGAAAGTCATAAAATACCATATCTAGAGCCTCATGGACACATTCTTGTATACGAATTTATTGTGGTTATATTTGACAAAGCTATCAGTTCAAAACTAACAGATAACCACTTAGTTTTTGGAAGAGAAAGGGGGGCCCATAAGTACGTTTTCTTAGTATGTTGCTAATTCGTGTCCTTTGAATTGATTTTTGATGGTGTTATCAAAGACTCGCTTAAGCCGTGAAGCGAGGGGCAAAACATGTTAGAGAGTTTCGCCTCGCTTAGCGGGCTCTTCAGTGTCGTCATCAAGGCTCTAAGGCATACTTTTTGTTGCCAATGTCAACACTAAGCAATTGCCATTTCACTTTACCGTAATTTGATTCTAACAATCCATTTTGGGGTACAACAAGAGTTTGTATTCTCAAATGATATCAGAGAAATTTGCATTTATTGTGGAAATTTCATATATATGTCCATATAGTTGTTATTCATGCTTGTAATTATTAGTCTTAGACTATACATACATATTTGTATTTTTTTCTCTATTTGCACATTTCTTCATAAAGCCCACACTTTATTCCCCAACGAATCTTAGAACTTTTCTGCGCTTTTCGCCTTAGATAACACTGTTTGACAAGAAAATGATGCAAATTGCGCAAATCGTTACCTAATGCACGAGCTTCTAGACTCTGTAGAAGGATCAAATAAATGGCCAAGTAACCAAGAAGCAAATCAGGGTAGGCATGCTAGGGGCACTGGTCAATACTTCCGCTTTGTTTTCCTCTTATATTATAAAAAAAAAGGTAAGCAAAAAAGGTTACAAGTGAACAGGCCTGTAGTCCTAGTTCAATGTACTAGGATTTGAAAGAGAAAATGGTAACTTAAAAACAAAGGCAATAAGATCCTAATCCCCAAGCAGAGTCTATAGGCAAAACAGTAAAAAGTTATCAACCTTTTTACCAGTTAAGGAAATATTAACCACGGTTAATACAATCTCACTCTCCAGAGTCTCAAGATGCAACATTTCAATTCCGCAACCACTATCTTTTCACATTTTGACTTTTTTACCCTATAAATTCTGAAAGAACCCTTTCAGAATATACCTTTGTCAGCCCTAAACTTTAAATTTCCCTAAGACTCCTATTTCTATGCATTGGATACCATCCAAACATTTCATAATTTTCTCCATTGCCACTTTTATCCCCTATGCTACAACACATCCATGTCTAAAATAATTGCCACATATCAGCAAGCACATAACATAATAGTCCAGCAACACTATATCATTCTCTTTTTAACTTCCAAGAAATCCACGAGGCTCGTGGTACACGGTTCAACACTTGGTAGATAATGAGTCCGCCACTCCACCCTTCTCCACTTAAAGACTGGGCTTTGTCTGGTTCGAACCTGTGACATGAGCCTACCCACACACTACGAACTCCACTCTTACCACTAGACCAAAGCCCTGGGCAACTCTAAATTGCATTCATTCTCCTAATTCAATTTCATTAGGTCCATGTAAGAGTCAGGAAGGCACTCGTTACATCACTCATGCACATTTCCATCTATGACACAAAAGTATTTCCTATTTAACACAGTTTGAGTTTCCTGCAATTTCATCGATCCTCTGTGTACAAAACCACTAATGGTCAACAATCGGCAGCATCTTCTCCATCTATACTAAACATGAGTACTTTCTGCCAACTGAACTCAAATAGGACGACGAAAAAACATACAAATTGAAAATTCTATTAGAAAAAAAGGGAAAAAGAACTCACATATAAAGTGTGTTTGTCGGAGAGTCCGAGAGCTTGAACCAAGCCAATACTTTGGTTCTCAGAAGCAGGAAAACCAGTGCCGATGATAACAGCTCGTCTAATCACGCCATGTACTCCGCCTTCGAATATATCCGGCACACCGCCCATTCTTCGTGGACTTGCCGGAGGTTCGGGAAGCCGTATTGGTTTCATTTGTACTGAAATTTTGTAGCTAAATATAAACAATCAAACCCTAGAACTGTGTGAAATAATATGCGGCACGTATGTGTGTAATTATGTGTGAATTGAATGGCGGCTTCAGTGAAAGAGCTGAGGATCGGAAGGGAAATAGGAGTTGTCTATAAACCTGAGATGGATGGCTTTGGACAACCGCAAAGGCCAAAGCGGTTGATTTTTTCTCCTTCCTTTCTATCTTTCTTCTTCTTTCGTCTTTTCTCTTTTTGATGATTGTTTATTTAGGACTGCGTGGGGAGGAAGACAAGGTTTTCCTTCTTTTTTTCTTTTTTTTTTTTTTTTGTGCTCAATTGCGGAATTTCCAACAACATGCTTTTTTCTTTTGAGAAAATACATGAGTAATTAAAATTAGGGATGGGCATTCGATATTTCGGTTCGGTATTTAAGAATTTCTGTTCTGTATTTCGGTATTCGATTTATCAATTGTATATAACAAATACCATACCGAATTATTTCGGTACGGTTCGGTATTTATTATTTTGCTTCGGTACGATTTCGATATGGTTTCGGTAAATACTAGAGGAGGGCTGGTTTGCCAAATTTGATCAACTAATTGGGAAAACTCTTGGTGTAACAACCACATTGTTTCGAATCTGAAAATATTATGTAATTTTGTTTAGAGTTAAATAACAATAAAGGACAATGGTTCGAATGAGTTCTGGATAGATGATAAACATGTGCTTCAGGACAGATATTTAACCATTCATAATTTGCCACAATACGATCTAGTCCTTCGAGTAGCATGGCATCCCTCCTACGTTTATTCGTCCAAGTATATTTGCTTCCCCTAAATCCTATGTCTATTATACTAGGTGGTGACCGCCCGTGCCAGCACGGGCCCAACAATTCAGACCTGCAGATGCATAATAGAAACTCCAGAAAACATAATTTGGCTGATAGAAAAGGCATGTAGTTCAAAAGATGCATCGTTCCAAGGATCAATAACTGTGAAAATGCAAGTTTACGATTTGGAACAAGTTTTTACACTTAAATCTATATCTTGTCTTGATGTATAAAGTTATCATTTGATAGTTCCTACAATAATCAAGTACAAAAATGACCAAAAAATAACAAAGAGGCACTTGTTCTCGCGAGTTTCCCGATAACTAATTTTACCAATCCACTAAGCAAGTCAACCAAGAATAGTGTAGTTTGCTATCCTTCCGTGTCAACAATTTCTCCTTGTCTTGTGAGAAACGAAGTTACCTGTCAAGTAAAGAATAAACTACATGGTAAATTAAATTTTTGTCACATAACAAATTTTGATTCCAGGAAAGTTCTCTACGGTAGCAAAAACCATTGACAGGTCAAGTTAGCAACTCAGGAAGATCTCTCTCTATCTAGGATAATGCTTGAGAAATGGATACAATTACGGATAGAGGCTCCAAACCTTCTTATGAAAAATCCATGTGTGTTCAATGATAAACTATACATAAGATAGTAGCATGGCATGGTCAACATGTCTAATAAATAGCTATGTAGTGAAATACTTAACACAAGTTAAGATTAAGGTAATACCTTTTTAGGTTGTTTCACACTTGTAAGCCTCTTTTTATTTTATTTTATATATCATTCTGTCTTCTTGAGGAAGCCTTGAACCACTGAATTTTGAAGTATGACATGAGGAAAGGAAAAGAACAAAGATGAACCATCAATATTTAGATGGAGAGCTTAGCAAGAAAGAAACATTAAAAACACCACGCTTACAATAGAACACTTTAGATAGAGAAGAAAGCTGAAAAGTTTGACGAAATTATGTTATCAACGTTTAAGAAACCAAAATAAGTTCAAGCCTATAAAATTCTATTACCAAGGAAGTACCATAACAGAACTATCGAGCCAAAAGCATAGCAACAACAACAACCACCCAGTGAGTTCCCACAAGTGGGGCCTGGGGAGGGTAGAGTGTACGCAAACCTTACCCCAACCCCGGGGTAGGGAGGCTATCTCTTCACTAATACCAATCTCAGAAAAATCGGTAATAGTTTTCTTCTTTTGCTATTAGTGGTTTTTTTACAAATGAGTTTAAAGTTATATACAGAACATCAGCAAATACAGATGTGTTAATTATTCCACTTGTACATTTTTTATTTTTCTACATCGATACAAATACTTTCAAATTCTCTCAGTATAACACTTAAATATTTTAAGAACCCAGCAATCATGGTGGACGAAGTTGAGCTAATGTGAAAAATTTAGGTCCAGCAAAGCCAACACAAAGAGCGCAAAAAATCAGCTTGCCGCGTAAGCCAAAAAGGTGAACACGCAATCGAATTATTTTCTGTCTTGTCTTGGTGGAACTAATCACCTTAAATTGATTAAAATCAAGAATTGCATCTCAAAATAGCGGTTGGTAGTTATGAAGTTTATGACCGCTAACTGGTTTACAGTGTTGGAGATAAAAAGGGAGCAGACTTGCATGAATCAATGTTAGTAATTTCAACAGTTCTGACAGCGTTCTAAAATTCAACTAAATTAAAAATTGGGAGTTATTTACCAAAAGAACATGAAATAAAGGAACGTACCAAAATAGATAAATGTCTTGGCTTTATAAAGTAATCGAAGCGCAATAATCTTGCAGGCTTCTTCTCCGCGACTCGACAATAAGACATTGCTCCAGTTGAGCCCCTGCCACAAATGTTGTCTTCTAAGCTACACAAAAGATTTGAAACAACAAACCAAGTCAGCTCTTAGTAGTTCCAAACTCCAACAACTAATCTCAATTACATGGAGTATCATTGACAGTCACAAGACTACTTGTCTCATAATAGCAAAGCACAATAAAGTTCTAAATGGTAGATAAACACATATATTAAAAAGGAAATAACAAGTAATATTCTCTTTTAAGGTGTTCATAAGTAATAAGAATATATTATTGCACTGTTATTTTATTATCTTATTAGTAATAATTCCTCGATCTAACAACCGTAGAAGAATAATACGCCGTAATAACAGTGTAATGAAAATGGATTAACAACTAATGACTCCTTCATTCAACTTCAAAAAATTGAAGTCCAAAGGAAAATGGAAGAATAGAAAAACTTAAGCATATCAAATACGAACTTAATCTTTTGTGAATAAATAATGTAGTGGTTATATTAGAGAACTAAAAGTAATACAAATGGATAAAAGGAACTATTCTTTGGACAAATTAGTGACTGCTAAAAAAATGGCTCTTTAAATTTTTTGTTGTATATTTCTGCTACATATAGTTGACTAACATTGATAATAAGGCAAACGATAAAACCTAATATAACAAAACTCATCTAACTTGTTGGAAAATATATATCAATATTAACTTTTTCAGATTGCATAACTTCATCCACAGAAAATAACAGGTGAAAGTCACAAAGAATTTCAATCAGTTTGATTTTTTTTTCCTACAATTAGAGTTGAGCACAAGTAATGTTCCTAAAATAACTGAGTGCCGGAGAAGAATTGATGAAGACATCAACTGACCCGATAACATATGGAGATTTAGATAATTTTCGAGTTAGGGTCTTGATGGATGGAATTGGGAAATTTTATTGGGGGTCTTTTCTGGAGAAATAATGAATTGAAACTGCAAGATTCCACACCAACACATGAAGAAAGTAACTGTCTGATCTACAAATAGAATACAACATGCACATAACAAATTTTCGAAACCATAATATAAAATTCTTAAATTAAAGTAAGAGAAAACAAGAAATATCAAATAACGGATGAAAAGAGATATTACAATGGAAGAAGGTCGGGCGGAATTTCTAGGAGAGGAGATGTCAAGCAGCTTTAGGTTAATAAGAACTCCTCCATTTACAATGACATATAAAAAGTTGCCACAAATCTGCAGTGGCCAATAGAAAGTAATTAGCGAAATCAAAAGCTGAAGAAGAAATAATAATGCAAGAAAATTGAGATGATGAATAAACACTGTGAGAGAGGAACTGTGTAATACAACTATGTGTTCTCACGAAATAAAGCCACGTATGTCAGTGGCTACCAGATTTTTAGAAAGGCAAGTATACAAATTGAAATGACTAAAATGCCCCCAACTAAAATTGTAATGATTAAAAACAGACAGGTCGAAACCCAAGCTCTTCTATATTTTAAAATTACGATAGTTAAAATAATTAAGCATCAAATCTGCTCTAGTGTTGTTTAATGTACAACCTTCAAATTTTTCAGTCGAGTAGATAATATCATTGAGGTCACCCCTTACGATCCATGGACCTTTATAAATATTAGCTATATTCATTAAGTTTTGCCATAAATTTTTTCTTGATGATAATAATATGCTTGCATAGATAGCCGAAAATAAAAAAAAAGGTAGACCTTGTGAACATACATGGACCATACAGTGTATCTTCTGATTTGTGACGATGATTTCAGTGACATTAACTAGATTGTCATTCCATAAAACCACTATACCCCACCTTCCCCTCAGTTGGTGCTGTGAGAGGTTGGAGAATTCAAAATCTTCCTTAAGCAGGTGATGATCTAGTAGGTGTGTTTCTAGAAGCATTACTAATGGTGGTTGGTCATAGTTGAGCATGGAACGAAAGTTCCTTCAAAATTCTGGGGATTAGGCACCTCTACAATTCCATATGACAAAATTCATGGATATACTACGATGAGGTGGTTGTGGTGGTGCTGTGTCCCGCTCCACCGATACTTGATTCTCCTTGTTGGCTTGCTGATTCACCTCCCTAAGAGCTGGTGTGATCACCACAGCAAATTTCCTTGCTTCTGGGTTCACTGTTGGCCTCAGTTTGATCAGGCACCTGGCCATTTCTGGTGGACAGTTGCTCCTTGAGAACAGAGATATGACATTGCCCTAGCCATAATGGTTATATTTGTGTTTCCCTGATTTCTTCCATGACTGTTGCTATTTCCTGTGGTGTTAGTATTTCTTGGTCTCCTGGGCTTGAAGGTTGTGGGCTCATTGAGATTAATGATAGAGTTAGTGGTTCGAAAGGGCTCATGGGCGACATTGGCATTGTTAGAGGTATGTGTATGTATTCGTGGATCCAAGAGATCTGGGATTGGGCTTGTGGGTAAAAGGGTAGTTCTGCATAAGTCAGTGGGTGGTAGTGGTTCTGATACTGAGGAAAAGGGTTCTACCATATGTTGGTGGTGTTCATGGGTGTTTTCATCCAGTTGTACTGACCATAGTATGTCATGGCTGATGTCATTCCCTCGGTTACTCTAGGCCAAATCCTGTGGGTTTTGAAGGCGAACTATCACTTCCTCGTTGTTCACTATCATGGAGTATGTGAGTGCATGGTTTTGTAAACCCATCTCCAACCATGATTGTGTTGGTTGGAAGGAATGGTGCTTGTGATGTGTAAATTACTAGGTAAGTTGTGGGTGGTGGCGTGTTTTGTTGCATGGTCGTTGGGTTAAGGAATTGAATGTTGAGTGGCCGGAAGGAAAGTTGAGATGGTCGTTGCTAGTGAGTTCTTAAAGAAAATTTTGGTGCATAGTGTCTTTGCATGGTTATATGTTGATGTAGAGGATGATGGGTGAGTAAAGACTTGCGCAAGAAATAGTTTTATTAATGATGGTTTGGCAGCATATGTAATAGTTGGATTGGGTAATTGAAGTGGTTATGTTTGTGTAGGAGAAGGCATTTCATATATATTGGGCTGGTCATGTGGGCTATGGATAAGTTGTGTGGTTTGCATTGATAGAGGGATGGCTGTATTGTGTATTGATTGGGCTTAGGATTGATCTGTAAGGGGACGTGATGGCATTGGGTAGTGGTGTGTGGGTTATTTGTTGTTTGATTGGCAGAGCTAGAAGGTGTTGCCAACGTGGCACATGTAGTTGTAAGATTCGTGTTACTAGGGTAATTGTTTATTCTATAAGAGTGTGATGTAGGGTAACTATAAAGGTTATTTTCGAGAGATGGAACGGGTAAGTAGGGTGGTGACTGAGTAGATCAACGAATATATCCATTTCCTGAGATTGGGCCACGTGTTGTAGGTTTGAGCTTGTAGTTTGATCCACTAGGTTTGGGCTTGTAGTTTGATCCACTAGGTCATTAGAATTTGTTAATAATTCAAAACTATTTTTTATTGCTAGTAGATTGTTAATAGTTACTTGCTGAGGTAATACAATAACTAATTGTTTGGTAAGAGCATTGAGGGAGTTCGTACCTTTATGATCTTCGATAGTCCCTGCATAGGTGAGTTAGTAAATGTCCTTTAGAGGAAGTCGCTATAGTTGAAGGAGTTATGTCCTTGTAACTGATGTATGTTTGTGCACCATAGATTTGGGAGGCCGTTTGTGGAATGTAACAATCTTCCTTTCGAAATCTGGGTCTTGTAGCTCCTTTCTTTCACTTACCTTAGACAAGGAATTGGTGTTTAATTGTGGTGTTGTAGCTGTTGAGGTGAGTTTTGTGGGGCAATTGGTAGTAGACACATTTTACACAAAATAGGTTGAGGCTTTTTCAGGTGGGTATGGGTATTAGTGATAAAATGGGTTAGGGTGGTTTAAAATGCTGCCATATGTCCACCCAGGATGAGTCCATTAGATGGAGGGGTAGAAATATTTAAATGAATAACGGTAGGGGTAAATAGTGTTGAATAGTAATGAGGGATATATATAACTAATATTTGATAGTATAGGGAAATATATAGCCCTTTTCTGTTTAATATATGTCAAAAGTTTTTAGTTTTATGTTTACTAAGCCGGTGTTTGAAGGTATGGTCTTAAATAAAGTGCAAGACTAGTCTGATCCGGACGGACTACTTGCTCACATCCCTTAAGTTTTTGTCTCATGTTAACATCGTCATATACTATTGGGGAGAGATGATGAGGTATAATATGATGCGGCTTCAAATTTTTGAGGATATGACCCTTGATAAGAAGGTGTGGAGGTCGAACACTAGAGTTGTAGGTTAGGAGGTAGTAGAACACTTTTCTACTTTGTACAAGGTAAGAGGCTAGTCTAATAAGGTTGTGTCCTAGACTGCTAGTGATTATTATTGTATCCACATTGTTCTTCCACTTTTCATAGTATCGAGCCTTACTTACGTGTTATTATTATTGTTTTGCATCTATTTTCTGGTACTTATGATGTTGTTATTATTTCTATGGTTTTCGTTGATGGTACTGATACATTATCTTTTTCATTTCCTTGAGCCGATGGTCAATCAGAAACAACCTCTCTACTTCCTTGGGGTAGGGGTAAAATCTGCGTACACTCTATTCTTTCCGGACCCTACTTGTGAAATTTTACTGAGTTGTTGTTGTTAACATTGGCATATAAAATAAAGAAAGAATTACACTCCTTATCACTTGGCTCAATAGCCCATCAAAAATTGGCCCAAGTTTGAAGCCCTTATCCAATATGGCCCAGATTGTATATAATGTGAAAATTACTTTTCACCTATTAGCCCACTCCTTTTAATTTTTTCTTTCTTTTTTCTGTTCTTCTTCTCCTCGTGTCCCAACTTTGCATCCCAAACTTTTTCCATCATAGTTATTCTCCATCAACACTCCTCCAAATTCAAAGTCGATAATCACTATTTGGATAAAGAAGAAAAAATAATACATAAAAGAAGTAGTTTATGGAGTCATATGAAGATACCTTCAATGGAGTGGAAAGAACTGTGTTTGCACTAAAGAGGTTCACTTGGTAGGTTGTTAGATCACCAAACTAGAAAGAAGGTATTGGCATGGTCTTAGTCTTATCCTCATTCCACGTGTAATTTTAATTCCAGTGGTTGATTAAAAACTTGGAAAATAGAAGTCATCATTAAAGGGTTTTCAAAGCTTCGATTTCAGAAATTGCGTTTTTTGATTTGCTAGTTGTTTGGATTTGGTGTTGTCCCAATTGATTGGAATCATCAAGAGGAGTTCAAAACTTAAATTTGAGGTGATTTGGAGTAGATTTAAGCTAGATTTGAGTTAAATTTCATAAGATCCCCAAGAAAGAAGAAGAGCATGTGAAGTTCAATTGATATGATTCATCTGTATAATAATGTATAAAATTGTATAAATAGTACTATATAGTAGTGTATAAACAACTCTCATACAAAATAATACATTATTCACATGTATTTGGTAAATTTCTCACATATTCTTCTTCTTCTACACGTATATACATAGGTATCACGAATATTTTTTACAGTGCTTATACATCTTTATACATTTTTTTACAACTATATGCATAATGTACCTCTTTGTATAAAAGTGTATAATGTCGTATAAAAGTGTATAAGCATCTCTGACGAACTTCTTACACGATTTCACTTGCAATTCTTGTTCAAAACTAATTCAAAACTCCATCAAATGACTTAAAACTTTGTATACAACCTACTTTGACTATTTTTAATAAGTTTAAACATTACCCACTCCAAATTTCTCACAAAATCATATTTAAAATTTAACAAGATTAGCATTGAAGAAGAAGAGATTTTAGGTTTCTCGTGTCTATTTTTGCATTTTTGTAGATGGGATAGGTATGTATAAATTTGAGGAAAAAGGGAGAATGGAAACTCAAGGATCTTTCACGCTGGAAGATCCGGAGAATAAAAAAATAGAAAAAAGTTCGGATATGAGTTTATTGATATTTGGCTACACATTTGCAAACTTGTAACTGGGCTAAAATAGTGCAAGGTCACCTTATAAGTGATCTATTGCGTAATTTTTCCTAAAATAAACTGAAGAGAAAATACATTTTTGATAACAACCGGAGTATGTCCTATCAAGACCTGTATCGAATAATTCTATCTACGTGAAAAAAATGTAAATAGATAACAAGAAACTACCTTAATATTTTATGGCTCAACTAAACTTTTGCACTCTCATCTCCTATTTTCTATTTGAGTTGCATTGACCCTTTTCATTTACCAGACATTAATTTGATAAATTTGCAAAACTAGATCCGATCAGATTAATTTATTTTAAAAAAAAGATAATTTAGTCTCTTAAAACAATGTAAAAGATATAGTCAAATTTT